AAAAAATACATTTATTTGTTTTTAAACATGTTCTTATTAGTCATTTAATATTAAACAATAACCGCTAACTATTGTATAACCAAACAGTTTTATTTATCGAATCCGCTATTTACCATCCGCTACCCACTTTCTGCTATCCGTCATCCGCTATCCGCTAACCGCCACCCGCTAACCACCACCTGCTACCCACTACCGTTATCCGCTATCTACTACCCACTATCTGCTATCAACTAAATTTTAACCGCTGTACCCAACAAGCCCTAAGCCACACTATTTAAACCAATGAGTGAGACTGAACTTTGTTTTATTAAAAGGCGTTTTTTTTTTTTTAATAATTTTTATTTTACAATTAAGGTTAAATAGTAAAACATGAAACTCAAATAGTTTTACTCACAAACTAACCCAGGGCTAAACGGCCCAAACCAAAAAACAACAGTCTGGGAATTAAAAATAAAACCGAGAATCGACGGCCCAAACAGAGCCCAATAACCAATGAAATTACGTTCCTAATTCAGCAAAACCCCACTGAAAACCTCCATCTTCTTCCTTCTTTTTACCCCATTGGTTTTTCCAATGGATTTCCAGGTGGTTCTTCTAGCGGGCGGCACTTCGAAGAATCTCATTCCTCTCGTCTCCTAGGTCTTCCCTTTTCATGATTTCTGGTTCCAATCCATTCTATAATCATTGCTGAATTCTTCTTTTGCACTTGGAATACAGGAGGTGCCCAAAGCGCTGCTTCCGATGGCAAACCGTCGCCTTATCTCTTACGTTTTGGAGCATCTGGAGCAAAACAACCTCAAGGATCTGATTGTTGTAAGCTTCGTTCTTCCTACGCTCTCTAATTTGATTGTTATTTTCATGTTCTTTTCATGTTCCTGATTAGCTTGGAGTGTTTTTGGCGTAGGTGGTAGAGGGCAAAGATGCGGCACTCCATGTTGGGGGTTGGATATCTAGAGCTTTTGTTGATCATCTACATGTTGAGGTATCTGAATGGTTTCATTTGTTGGATGATTAGCTACAAAATGTTGGATTGCTTCTCTTTCATAGCTTATAATCATGTTTTCTCTGAAATCTGGGGTGTGTCATATTGTACTTAAACTTAAATACAATTATTCTAAGTTCTAACTATGTGATGCTATCTTATTTCTAGTTTAATTAGTTATTTGCCTTCTTGATATTGCAGGTTGTTGCAGTCCCTGAAGATGTGGAAACAGCTGGTGCAATTAGGGCCATTGCACACCACCTGACTGCTGAAGACATTTTGGTTAGCATTTGCTATCCTTCATAATAGTTGGCTTATGTGATAAAAGTTACACTTTGAAGCATACTTCATGTTCCTGCAAGTTATAAGTGGTGATCTTGTTTCTGATGTTCCTCCTGGTGCAGTTGTGGCTTCTCATAGACGTCATGGTGAAGCGGTGACTGCAGTGCTTTGCTCTGCTCCTGTCAGTGGAGCTTTGGAGCCAAGATCTGGTGGTGGAAAGGATAAAATCAAGAAACCTGGACGATATGACATCATTGGCCTAGACACTACTAAACAATTTTTGTTATGCATTGCAACAGGTTAGATATCAAAGTTTTTTCTATTTTTTGGCATGTTATATGACCTGACATTGCAACATGCAACCCTTGGCAGGAGGTGAAATTGAGAAAGATACTCGAATTCAGAAGACCATTCCTTGTGCACTTGGCCTGGTAATAGCATGCAAGCAATCCTTCTATTAAATAGAACTCTTTCAGCAATTGATCACCCAGAAGTGTCTTCTGTCTGGGTATGTGTTCATGTTGCCCAATAAAAAGAGTTACTAAATTAACCTAAGAGGACCACCAGTTCAATTTCAAAGTTCACCAGAATATTCACATGCTGGATGCTTGGTTGTTAATCCAAATTTCTGTTGTATCCTTGTATAGGTGGAAATTAGATCTGATCTTATGGATGCTCATATGTATGCATTCAAAAGGTTTGTCTTTTGCTCTTGTTGCTCCTACAAATTCAGTGTGCCTTTCTTTTACTGAATCCTCATATCTCTCCAGATTTGTTTTGCAAGAAGTTCTTGATCAAAAGGATACATTTCAAAGCTTGAAAAAGGATGTACTTCCATATCTTGTTCAGAGCCAGCTGGTTAGTTGAATAAGGCCCCCAAATACAAGGATGTTTATTGTACGATTTCCTTAGATCTCTAACTTAGTCTTTTTATGATTGTTTCTTGAGCATCAGAAATGAGAGGCACTAAAATATGCACCACTTGTGGAAGAAAATGGAAACCAGAAGATCAATACCCAGAATAACCAAGCAACTCTGTCTCGGATGATTGCTAATGCATCTACCCCAAGCTTTTATGAACTCTATGAATTGGGTTCTAATGGTTCTGCTCCTATTTGGATAAAAGCTCAATGCTGTGCTTATATCGCCAGCAATAGCAAGTACTGTGTGCGATTGAATTCCATTCAAGCATTCATGGATATCAATTGAGATGTGAGTTTATGTGTTTCTTATTTGGGCCTGCTTATCTCAAACTACCACTTTTACTTGTTATTGCAGTTTTTGTTCCATTGAGTTGAGCTTATTCTTTTAATATTTCAAATCATTAGTGAGGCAAATCATCTGTCAGGGCATTCCCTCTCTGCCCATAATAACATCATACATCCTTTGGCAAAGCTTGGATCAAAAACTACTGTGAGTCCACTTTAATAGACAGGCGTATCTAACTTCATCATTGGTTTAGAGCATTGGATGATTATCATCTGTTACTTGTATGTGTCAAATTGTGAGGTTGTCTAGTTCTAAGGCCAGTTCTCTAACTGATGGTTGTAGGTTGGACCACATTGTATGCTGGGAGAAGGTTCACAAATGGGTGATAAATGCAGTGTGAAACGATCTGTAATTGGGCGTCACTGCTGGATAGGTTTCAATGTAAAGGTAAAATTATTTGTCAATAAAATGGTAGTAAGTATTTTTGGAAAAGTGATTATGATGCCATCTGTATAGTGTATAAATCAGGCTAATATTAGCTTTTTCATTTGCAAAAGTTTGTAAAGAATAGCAAACTTTCAAGTTTCAAGCTTTAGATAGTTGTTTTACCTGTTTCTAGAATTTGTGCCATGCGAAAACAAAAGAACTTACCATGCATTTGCAGATCGTCAATTCGGTTGTAATGAATCATGTAACAATTGCTGATGGTTGCTCCATACAAGGCTCTGTGCTTTGCAGCAATGTACTGCTTCAAGAGCGAGTTTCATTGAAAGATTGCCAAGTAATTCTCTTTCCCTCACTTGTGCTTACCAAGGTTGCAGAAAGTCCAAGGCTATGGTGTGCGGTTGCCCACAGCCTAGAGCTTAGAGTGCATAGGCAGTGCTTAAGTGGCTTAGGCGGTTTTTTTTTAATAATAATTTTTTGATATAATTTTAAGAGAATAAGGAAAAAATGTAAAACAATTTTAAAAATTATAAAATAAATAGAAAAATTAAATATTCTTCTATTCATTATTATATCTAAAGAGCAAAATTTAAGAGAATTACTTAGCATTTAATTTTTTTAATATAATTTTTATAATAAATTAAACGACATCATTTCATTAAGCTAAAAAATTAATAAAAAACATTTGCTCAAGCGCTTTAGGTGCCATTCCTAAAGCATGCCTATTAGTGCCTAGGCGTGATTAATTGATCTGAGTGGTATAAATCGCATTGAATTTTCGCAGGCGAAGTGGCATTGCCTAGAGCTTAGGTTGATGTGGGCAGAATAGCACCGCCTGGAGCCTAGGCACAGCCTAGGTGCGCTTTTTACAACACTGGTGCTTGCTCCTACACAACTATGCACCCTTCCTAGCAGAGAATTTCATGGCTAATTGCATTGCTGATTTGGTATACTTCTTTCTAGGTTGGAGTGGGTTTTGTGGTCAGTGCCGGGTGTGAGTACAAGGGAGAATCACTGGCTAGGAAAGAGAAGTGAGTGAAATGGCAAGTCTAACGCTAGGAAGAGAAACTTTGTGCTAAGTGGCCACTTTGCGGTTGGTCCTAGAGCATGCCTATTGTTAACTGCTGCTGTGAGTAGAATGGGCAAGAAAGAAGTGGCAATGTCAGATGCGTGTGCCACTTAGCTCCCATTTTGTCAGATAAGTTTGCTTGTATTTGATGACTACTTTTTTCTTTTATACATAATGACTAGAAATTGAATCTTAAATTTGTGATTAGAAATATAAGTAATTCTACCATTAGAATACATATTGATAGTGTATTTAATGACTATCACTTCTCCTTTTGTATGATTAAAATGGGACACATATGCATTAGATTTTATATATATATATATATATTCTGTAATACTCGCAATTTATATTCTGAATTGAGGGTAAGATGGCCCAGTGATTTAAAAAATTTATGGATAGAACACTAGAACGCTATATAATCAAAGTCAAATTATTTACTCTTATTAGGTTCTGCTATTTATTCATAATAACACGCTAGAAATCTGCTTATGATAGCCCAATAGAAAAACACAGAAGCAGGATTTCATCAAATCATATCCTAGCACAGTCCATGGTCTTCTTCCCCTCATGTCCCTTACTGAAGAAATACTTGAAGTAATCAGAGAAGACAATTTCCCTATAGATGGGTTTCTCCCCATCTTCTAAAACCTCCGGCAAAGGACCGATGACGGCATCAGGTGCCGGATTCACAAATATGGGCACCGAAATTCTGTTCTTGTTTCCATTGGCGACCGCGCGATGTTCAATGCTCTTGTATCGATCGTTGCTCAAGATTTGCAGAATGTCTCCGATATTGACCACAAGAGCGCCATTAACGGGTGGAACGTGGATCCAGCAATCACCCTCAGTTTCTCGGACATATAGACCGCCGTTGTCATCTTGGAGGAGGACAGTGATCGTAGATATGTCGGAGTGAGGGCCTACTCCAGCTGCGAGCTCGGGGCTCGGACAACGGGGGTAATAATTAAAGTTGATTATTGGCGAACCCATTAGCACATACTCTCTTGCTTGATCAATCTCTTTCACATTCAATCCCTTGAGTAGTGCTTCAAGCAGTCTTTTAATCACAATTTTAGCTTTCTCCATGTATTCTAGGACTTGAAATCTACAAAAGGAAAAAGAGAGAAAGAAAAAGACCCAAATATTAATTTCCCATACTGCAATCAGCAGATCCTAATGATTACTCCTTTCTTTTTGGACCGAACATAATAATTAATTCTGCAATACGTGATTTTGTTGAACTCCTACTTTTTCTTTTTTTTTAATAATTTTGACATTATTTACATATATATATATATATGGGGAGAGAAAAAAAAATTTTATAGGGTTCTAACGTGTCACTTACGCAGGTGAACAGCTTTAAGCAGATTTCAATGTCATTAGACCGGAACAGAGCATTCGAACTCTTACTTATTATTTGTTTTTGCCAATGAAATTGAAATCCTTACTTGCATACTGGTGGCCACAAAGCAGAGGCTTCTGGATCACCGGAGACATAGCGGAAGCTCAAGAAATCTTTCCACTCAAGAACAGCTTCGGCGTGAGGACTGAAGCTGGTGGACAAGGAGACAGTATTGGCAGGCGATTTCCCTTTCCAGTACTTCGCTCTCTCCTGGTTTGGTAAACCGAAGAAGCGGTGACCTGCGTCCTTTATCTTGTCAAGATCCTCCAAGGTCAACCCGTGGTTAACAATCTGAAAGAAACCCCATTTGCATGCAGCTTTGCAGATCGATTCTGTAACCTTCGGATCGTTCCAATCGGAGACATCGATGATCGGAATGGAGTCTTCAGTGACTATTTTTGTTGGATCTAAACGTTCCTCAGGAGGGAGGATGTAGTGATCGGGAAGGCTCTGGATACCGGAGTCGGCAAGACCCTTTACTCCGTTGCCTTTGTTTACAACAAAGTCGAAGATATCGACCGGTGGGGCCATTTGGCTGGACATCTGAACTCGCCGGATTTGCTGGTGATTACTTTCCTTTCCTTATGTAGAAAAGTGGCCGCAGACAATTTTTCGTAGAGAAGACGTTAAATAGAACAGAAAGTAAATTAGGACACTGCCCTGCATACAGCCTACCCATATGATTTATTTTTAATAATTTTTTAAATGACATGAATTATACTATATAATTAGTCCCAAATTTTGGTTTAGAAAATTTATTTTTTTATTTTTTATTTTTAATTAATTGGTCCAAAAATTTTGTTTTTTTATTTTTATCATATAAAAATTTTTCTTTTTATTTTTTTCATATATTATTAATTGGGTATGTG